TGGGACGGCTGCTGGAAAGAGTGCACGCGAGTACTGGCGACATGAGGAGGAGGGGGCGGTGGGATGGGCGATGTGGGAGATTAATTGTTGGAAGTGGGCACAGGAGCATGAAAGCCTGGGCGCCGTGTGGGTGCAAGAGAGAAATATGGCCTATATCACGGCCTGGCACATGGCGAGGGCTCAGTAAACATTTCTCCAATGAATGAAGGGGTGAGTGAAAATAACTATGGAAAGTAGGGTAGAGAGTTCATGAGAATAATAACTACTGGGGGTGCAAGAGAGGGTTCTGATAAAAAGGTGCAAGAACAAGGTCAGACTGAAGGCGCGCCGGGGGGAATGGAATTACAGGGCCTACATGAGACTAAGAATTAAAGGGGAGCATAAAAATATTTGTAGAAATTGGGAAAATGTACAACAGGATGATCATTGTGGAAGAGGATGCAGAGGATTCCAGGAAAAACTGTTGGATGGAACAGGGTGCTTCTGGAAAGGAGGTGTAGGAATTGATGAAGGGCAGGAAAAATATTTGTAGAAATTGGGAAAATGTACAACAGGATGATCATTGTGGAAGAGGATGCAGAGTATTCCAGGAAAAACTGTTGGATGGAACAGGGTGCTTCTGGAAAGGAGGTGTAGGAATTGATGAAGGGCAGGAGTATGCCTGAAACTGGGATTTATGCATGGGAAAGTGTGCTGGTGAGCAAAAGAGAGTAATGTTTGGGTTGAAAGAACACATGAGAAAGGAAAGAGGAAAGGGGTTTCTTAGGAAGGAGGATACCTAAGAAAAATCAAGGGGTGAGGAAGGGAGAAGCCAGCGGGAAAGCTGGGTCCCAGAGGTGGGCAGGATGGAGAACCACAAGCATGGCCGCCCAGAGGCAGGAGGGTTGGTTAGGGCAGGGTCCACAAGGCTGTCCTGACCTCCACTCCTGCCTCTAGATCCATGGAACCCAGTGAAATGCCTGCTGACCACCACTGCTCCTCAGACTCTGCCCTAGGGAGTGAGCCCAGAGCTCCCCAAGGCATGGAGCTCATCCCCAGAAGAGCTGTCAGTCGCTCTCCAACCTGTGCCCGCTGCCGCAACCATGGCGTCACTGCCCACCTTAAGGGCCACAAGCGCCTCTGCCTCTTTCAGGCTTGCGAGTGTCACAAATGTGTCCTCATCCTGTGAGTATGAGGTCCAGAGAGGAGATGAATATGAGCCTCCTCTAAAGGGTGGCTGACTTGTGATTCGCAACCCCTTGCCCCGTTTTAGGGAGCGCAGAAGAGTCATGGCTGCCCAGGTGGCCTTGCGGAGGCAGCAGGAGGCACAGCTAAAGAGGCACCTGGCTCAGGGACTGATGAAAAGAGGAGCAGCCCCTCTCAAAGCTGCTAACCATGTCAAGAAGGGAGCCACTCGATCAGGGGTCCCCTGTGAGTGTCTCTGGCCAGGAATGGGACAGGGATTTGGGTGTAGAAAGTATGAGTAGGGAATTAATCCTGCCACTGAATTAGTGTGTGACCTTGGGCAAGGTGTTTCGACTCTCTGGGCCTCAGCCTCATCAACTATAAAATGTGACCAACTGTTGGGAGGATGCAGAAAGATCTGCGAGTAGAAAATAGCCAGGAAGAAATAAGAACATAGTTTGCAGTTGGGGTAGGATAGGGATCAGGAGAAAGGGCTCACTAGAGCTCTCTCTGGTTCCTCACAGCTGGAAAGGAGAACATAGCACCCCTGCCTCAGACACCCCATGGGGCAGCCCCACTGGCACTGACATCCCCTGGGAAGGTAAGGAGTGCCTGAGCCCTGAGGGAGTGACTCCCACCCTAGGTCCTGCCCCTTCCTCTGTGCCTTCCACAGCTGCATTCTAGCCCCAGCTCTGACTTGCTATGTTATCTTGCACAAATCACTCCTCTTCTGTGGGCAAAATGAGAGGGTGGGACTTTAAGGCCCTCTCAGATCTAAAGTTTTGGAGTCCTACTCCCATCCCAGAACATGCCACTCCTTCTCCAGCCTTGTACTTAACTCCAACCTGTGCCCTCTGCCATTGCAGGACAACTCCCATGGGCCTCTACTGCTCAGCCGTCCCTCAGAAGCCTTGCCTTTGCCCTGGACTCCAGTGCCTCGGGGCTCGTGGGCCCCTGGATACTGGCTGCCTCCAGGTCTCTCCATGCCACCCCCAGTGGTGTGCCGCTTTCTACGCCAAGAACCTGCTGTCCCTCTGCATCCCTTCCCTGGTAAGATGATAATTCAACATTCATTCAGTAGATAATTTGAGTGCCAATTTGCTGCTGTATCAGTAAGAGAAAGGGAAGAAGACACAGGTGGGGAGAGAGAGGACAGAAGCCATGTCCTCTGACCCCAATACACTCTGCATTCTCTTGTCCTTATTAGGCTTTGACCCTGGCACCTCCCTCCGGCTGCCCACTCATGGGCCCCTGCCAACTTGCCCAGGATCTCGCCCAGTATTGATGGCTCCTCTTTCTGGAGATCCCCAAGGGCCCCCTAACCTGCCCTGCACGTGAGTAGGGAGAGAAGGATATGTATTTATCATTAGCCTACCCCTGTGCTGGACACCATAGTGGATGATAAAAAAGAAAAGATCTCAGACTAATAGGTGAGGCAGAACTCTCCTAACTCTGCCATTTCCTAGCTGTGAACCTTTGGACAAGTATTTGTACCTCTCTGAGCCCGTTTTCCTATTAGTAAATGGGAGACACTATTACCTCACTGGTTGTCGTTAAGAATTAGCAATAATGTATGGACTACACCTAGCACAGGCCCTCGCCTTGAACAAACAGTGGTTATTAAATCCACTTAAAGAGATAAGATGGGGTAGAATTGCCTGCTGAAATTGCCACCATCAAGGGCCCATGATGGTGAGAGCTTTACAGGCACAGAAGAGAGGCCAAAGGCCATTAGAAAAAGCTTCCTAAAGGTGGGCCAAACTCTTCTTCAAGTTACATGGGGGTTGGGGAACTGGGAAACCAGACTCATTAGGGCAGGGACAGTAATCCCAGTACCTCTAGGTGTTTTGTCAATTTTTAAAAATCCTCACAGTAGCCCTGGGAGGGAAGAGGTGGCAGGAATTTTCATTTTACAGAAAACAAAGCAGGCCAAGACAGGGTACAGGACGTGCTCAAGCCCACAAAGACTAATGCTCCAGTAGGCTCTTGAAACCCAGATCAGAATATCTGCCCCCTTTCCATGTGTACATGTCTGTTCATGTGTTTAATCCCTGGCATCTTCTTTCCTGTTTCTAGATGCTCAACTCTGATACTCCAGTCCTGTAGCACCACAGACCCTCTTCTGCTACAGCCACAGGTCCTGGAAAAGAAATAGGATCCAGGACCCTGGGAGGAGGTTGAGCCTGGGGAAGGAAGGAGCAAGGGACTGCGAAAGAACCAAGGCCTGAGGGAACACTTGGAGGGTGAGCAGAAGTAGGGGTTCCCAATCTGCTTCTCTCCTTTTCCTTTGCAGGCCCCTGGAGACTCTTGCCTGGCCTGGACATCTGCCCCCTCAGAGTGGCAGCTGCAGCGGGAGGCAGCCGAGGCCCTTGTGGGGCTGAAAGATTCATCCCAGGCTCCCCGCCTGACCCCTTCCATCCCCCCCAACCCTGCCTGGATCTCCCTGCTCCATCCCTGTGGCCCTCCAGGTAACCTGCTCCCTAGAAGGAGAGGATGGGATAGGAATGGTGGGGAAAATGAAGGTCACTGGTGTAAGCAAGGACTAACCAAGGAGATGGGGGACAGGGGAGTGGTGTCAGCAAATTGAATGTCCTCAAGACCCAGGACCCGAGGCTCCTCAGTCTGGACCCTAGGGTTGCAGTTGAGGGTTGTTCAGTGGATGTTTTACCAGTTTTGTGCTGAACAGCAAATGGCCAGTACCTTGATGTCAAGGAAAGTGAAGCCCTTAAAGTGGCAGGGACTTGCCCAAGGGCATATAGCGAGACAACCTCAGGGCCTGGTCTCCTGACTACAGCCCAATTATCTCTCTGGACCCAAGCTGCCTGCTGAAGTCTGGAGAGGGGCTGAAGAGGTAACAAGGGTCTAGCCTGGGAGGAGGTCTGATAGCTGCCTTCCAGGAGCTTCCTTTCTAGTTGGGGGACCCAGATGCCTTCAAAAGGCTCAGTGACAACCCTGGAGAAGACTAGAGAAAACTTGGGGAGGGAGAAACAACTAGGGGGAGAGAGAAGGATGGGAATTCTCCTATCCAAATGGTGAACTGGGCAAACTGGCCTAGAGGAACTGCTGGAACAGAAAGAGATGAGGCTAGAGAGGCTTTTAATCACAGAGATCTGGCATGCCAGGCTTAGAAATCTAGAACAGCAACTGTGTGTGAAAGGCCAGGAAAGGTTTCTGAACTAGGCGGGGACATATTCAGAGACCCTGAGGACACGTATGGTGGCTTTGATGGAGGGATTGGAGGAGGCAAGACTGAAGGTAGAATATCAGCAGGAGGAGGTCTGCCCAATAAACCAGGAGAACAAGGATGAGACCTGGATTGGATGGGGTAAAAAGAGGGGGTTGTTGGGAGGGGAAATGGATGTGATCTGGTCCTGTCCCCTTCCTTCCTGCCTATAGCTCCTGCTGGAGGAAGAGGATTCCAGCCTGTTGGCCCCTCTCTCCGACCCAGCCCAGCCCCCTCCATTGCTCTGCCTATTGGGCATCTGGGATCCATCTCCCTCTTGAGCTAGGAGCCCAGAGGTGGAGGCTGCCATGCTGGAGCAGGGACACAATAGCCCGCAGGCACTGAATATTTAGTATTTTTCTTATGGATTTATGCATGGGGTTTAATGTAGTACAAGCTTCAGGCTCTTTTTTTTTAAGCTTTCAGGTGCTTCATTAGCTTTTAGTTCCTTTTGTAGTGTGGGCATTTCCTTGGCCAAAAGTGGGTATTCTTGTTCCCCTCCTTGGGTCCTGGGACCTTTATAAATCCCCAGGAAAGAGAAAGCTGCGCAGTTTAAGCTGACCAGTATCTAAATACTTTTTTGCATGCGTTCTTGTTCCAGGGTATTTGACACACAATTCTGTATATACCTATGCATTCATGTCTGTCACCATGCATGTGAAAACAGGAGAGTATATTCATTTTGTGTCTAAGTCTATGTCAGTAAACAGGAAATAAACCTTTGTTGTTTTAAGCCACTGGTATTTGGGCATTGTTTGTTACCACAGCCTAACCTAGTCTATCTTGACTGACAGAAAGGACTTATTCAATTCATTTCTCAAAGTGAAAATCAGTTATTCAATAACTACCACAAATAAACACAAACTTGGATTTCTTATTATGGCCAGATAAGAAAGAGTTATAGAGGGAGATAGTAGAGGGATTCACTGATTCCATAATTGTGTGCTCTGTACCAGGCATAGACAGTTTCCAGCTGTCCAGAGAGAGGGCCACAAACTGAAATGCCTACCAAGCCAAGCAGATCTTGTAAATGAATGAATAAGGCCAGGTACATCCTGGCAAACGGAGAACACATGTCTTACCTATGGTGGGTAGCCTCCTTTTGGCCCTAGTGGGTCACTGCCAGGCAGGTTTGTGGGCTTGCTGTTGCCACATCTTCTGATTTTTCAAGAGAAACTGGAAAATTAGAATTCTATGTAAAACATCTTCATTTTCAATTCCTGGCTCCGTTTTCTTCTTAAAACTAATGTGGGCTAAATAAAACATATCCTCAGGCCAGCTTTGGGCAATGGAATGCCAATTTGATGCTAATCTAACATGACTTTTTTCAGATGGGGAAACTGAGGCCAATCAGGACAGGAAGAATCAAGTTCGTCTTTATCAAGGGTTTTTTCTGAACTAGGGAGATTCATGTGTCTAAGTTTTGAAGGATCCATAAAAGGTTAAGAGACAATTGTTACCATTTATTGAGTGCCCACTATATTTGTTCACATATATCCCCACAACAGCCTTGAAAGCTATGCATGATTGTTCCCATTTTACAAATAAAGGAACAAGCTTAAAGAGGTAAAATGACTTTCCCAAGTGTTTTAGGGAAATTTTCTAGATAAAAATTGGCAGAGGGGTTTCTTCTCCTTGCCAGGCCCCAAATCAATTAATAGGTAATTTTTATAAAGCATAGAGTGGAAGATTTGACTCTGAGAGACAGACATGAGTCAGAAGCATTTTTCAAAAAAGTCTTTTAGTTTTCTACACAAGCTATCTTTAAATAATAAGATCTTACCTACATTTGCTTCTTAGTCCTCTGCTGTTGAGTTCATCTTGAACTGTTTCAAACATATGAAGATATGAAGACCTGGAGACCCTCATCCCCATTCCCACCCTTAGAAGGGACAGACAATGCTCAAGGGACATGCCTGATCATCAGTTGTTTTTCCTGATGTTACCTACACCTTTCTTTTTACTCAAGATGATTGATGATGATAGCATCAAATTACAACTTGTTCTTTCTTGTCTGGGGCCTTGAAAAGGTGGGCTTCTACTCCCTAACAGATTACGGAGTAATAAACCTGCAACACTTCTCAGGAGTATTGCAAGATATCAAAAAACTAAAATCTGCTACACACCTTCCTTTACTCCCTAGTTATAACTTAGACATGATTGCCCCTTAATAGACCTGCCTAAGCTTTCCTGTGCCAAGCTCTCCCAGGGATGGACAGCCAAGCCCACACAGTCACAAAGGAGGGAAGCATTGCAACATGCAACATGGATAAAACCCTTCTACTCAGGGCTGACCAAGGGTCCCCAGTATATCAAGGTTACACAGCTGGAAAGAGTAAAAAAAAAACTATAATTTGGAGTTAAAGGATGTTATGAGAAAGAATAAAGAAAGTGACAGAGCTTGGAGGAAGAGGCGGAGAGCATGCCCCTCTTTACCAGCCCTTCTCATTTCTCTGCAGCCCATCTTTCCTTCAGTGCCAGACCTGGCAAGGTTTTTCACACCACTGGCTAGTCCATCTTTGTCTTTCAAATTGCTAGGGCCTCCCCACTAGCACCTGAGAGAGAGAGCAGAGCTTCTACGGAGGTCAGCCTTGAAAAAAAGGGCAGATTTAAGAATAACTCATGCTCCTGTGTTGCTGCCTCTTTGAGTACAGCATCTGCAGTTGTGGGGAGCCAATAGGCTCCTGGCCTCTGACCAGTCCTCAGAGATTTTGGCCAATGGACTGTGATCACTGTTTCCTATACCACTCCATTTCCCACTTCCCATTGTGGGGTAGGGAAAGGTGTTGCCCTGGTCCAGTAGAGTACTGAGTAAATATCCCCCTTCCAAGCTTCCTTCATGTACCCTCCTGACACTCTGCAGAAATAACCAATGAGGTTCTTAATATGAAACACCATTCTTGCTCCTCTCTCTCCTCACAAGACTTCTCCCCGCAGCCACCCAGCTTTTATTTCAAGAGCTCATTTCACATTCTGCCCTTTGGGAATCCATCCTCCCTTCACTTCGGTCCACTCCTGACCACACTTCTAGTCCAAAGGAGAACTGGCATCATACCACCTATCCCCATCCAGTCTACAATCAGACTCTCATAGCCTGGTCCATGTAGGCCTCATTCTGCCTCCCTGTCCCATTGTTTGGCTGGCTCTGCAGCCCCTGACACATGTTCACATAGATGCACTTCTATAATCCATGCCCTGCATAGACTCTCATGAGATCCTACGCTCTTCCCAAAAGCAAGATTCGTCTTTTCCATCTGATGCAAAATAATGTCTGTTGAGCCCCTCAGGCAGAGTTCCCTCTGTTCCTTAGAAGTCCTTGGTCCCTGCTTCACAGGCCTGATCACCCTGAACTGTGCCTGTGTCCATCTATGTCTCCCCTCCAAGAATAAGTACTCTGAGAGGACATGACCTGCATTCAGTTCCTGTCTGGGGGTCCAGAATAAATGCCTCAGTAAACACATTCTGTCTGATAACTTAGGAACTGTTTTTCCTACTCAATGCACTCCAATTCTACCCCTGGTCTTATCATAACACGAACAACTTCCTGCCCTCAAGCCATTTTTATTAATATAGTTTATTTTTTCAAGCAGTTTCAAGTTCATAGCAAAATTGACTAGGAAGCATAGAGTTCCCATATACCCCACTGCCCTAGCACAAGTACAGTCTCCCTCTCTATCAACATCCCACCGAAGTGTTACAATTGTTACAAATGATGAATCTACATTGACACAACATTCACCTGTCCCAACCCACGGGATATTCAATGCAGACCCTGGAGGGGGGAGTGGGAATTAGATGGGACAAGAGACATGAGAAACAGAGACAAGACAGTATTCTGATCAAGTCTCGTTTATTAGCCAGAAGGTCATGGCTTATATAGACAGCAGGAGGGAATCAGCAGATAAGGAAGTGAGCAGCAGATGGTTTACTGAGAAAACCACAGGGTTGGTTGTTCCGGTAAATGGAAAATTCCCATTATCTATGGCAAGTTGCAAAGTTACCTACACCCATAGTGCACAGGAGGGGGAGGGACGGAAGATAACAGCAAACAAGGCTCTGAGGCCTTGAGGCAA